GAAGTGGCAGAGCACACATTACTGTTTTGTGGTCACTACCTGAAAACTTAGAACCCACTAAGATTGAGAGGGGGCTTATATCGTGACAGAATATTAAGTCCAGTACATTGTCACCTCTTGTAGGGATAGTGACAGTTTGTTTCCAGCCGAAAAGCGAGACGAATGTCAGGCGTGTAGTGTCATCGTTTCTGAAACTGACTCAGCTTTTGAATGCAATTTGTTCAAACGATGGGTACACTGTCGTTGTGACAGAGTAGTGCCGAAAACATACTACGAGTTTATGCGAAATAACCCATGCTCATGGTTTTGGTATGTCTGTCCACTTTTTCGCCCTGGCACAGTCCCACACAGCGTGTCTGCGGACAGCAGAAACAACAAGCCACTCTTGTTTACCAACACAGTCTCATGCAGCTCCCCACTTGCTGACAGCACACCACCAAAACTTGTTACAGACAGTAAGAAGGTAACTCCAGTCCAACTGACTGGAAATGCCAATTTTCACAAGGCGAAGAGTCCCAAGGCTGCACCCACAACATCGGTGAAAGATAGAATTGCCAAAGCACCACTTGCATCCACTAGCAGGCTTGGCAACACAACAAAGGCTAGTCAAAACCTGATGAAGCCTAAAGTTACTAACACTGCAAGGGAATACAAGAAGCCGAAGGCCAAACCTAGGTCTGAGGTTAATCGGTCTAATTCTCTCATCATCTTTAACGTACCTGTGAGCAAGGACAGCTTGCTTGAACAGCGGGCCCTGTTTGACCAGGAACAGTGGTCCAACCTGTGCAATAAATTAGGTCTGAACATTAGTTCAGTGAAATTGTGCAGGCTGTACAGGGGTGTCCACACACCTCAAGGTAAGTCACGGGTTACACCGGACTCTGCCGAAGAGGCCGAAAAGGTACTATTGATGGCTCAGGTACTAGCCATCGACAGAAGTTCGAACATATGGGTGAGGCAAGACAGACAATGGGCTATCAGACAAATGGCGAGGGAGTCACCGGAACTTTTGCCTTCTGCTTCTATGGTGGTACACGGTGTTCCGGAGATGGAAACGGGCACTGCCTGTGAAAAACACATGCATGGCGTACAGCAGTGGGGATGGCTGTCGTCTCAGATGGCCCTTGGCGCTTCTGGAGCCATCTCCATTTCCCGACTACATCGTCCCGCTCATCTCACACTGATTAGCTCCCCAAAGCTGCTAAGTGTCACATTCAACTCCCCAGAGCAGTTGGCCATAGCACTTCGACGGTGGTGTGAGATCAAGGGGAAATTGGGAGGACACATCCGATGCTGCGCAAGCAGACCTCAAACCATAAGGAGGCAGCAAACGGAGGCTTTAATACGTCCCCAAGCTTCAGTGACACTAGCGCGATGCAGTTCTGAGAATAACAGTCTGTGCCACCCAAGTGTCCTGCCTAAATCCATGGGGAAATCCACAACGGGCCCGGTTTCATCGAAATCGGCCAACTAGTCCCAACATTAAGTCGCCTAACAGGAGACAGCTTCACGTCAACTACCCCACAACACGCTGAAGTTGTAAGACTCACTGTCAGCTGCCTATATAGCAATGTAAGGGTGCTGAGAGGAAAAATAGGTGAACTCCGAAATCTCCAAGCACACCTACAACTGAAAATGATCATTCTCACCAAAACCTGTTTGACCCCGACCGTCGGTGACAACGAAATCAGTATAGGTGATATGGTTTTGGTCAGGAGAGACAGGGATAATAAGGAAGGAGGGGGAGTTGCCATATACTTTGACAGGCAACTTAAATGTGTGCGCGCAACTGACCCACCACTTATTGAACTCCCAGACTCCATACGGTGTCATTTCACCGTAGGCCACACCAAGCATTTACTTGGTGGCATCTACCGATCTCCCACCTGTGGGGCAGAGCACAATCGCTACTGCTCAGCACTATCACAGGGATACGAGACTTGGGCTATGACCAAATCACCATTGCTGGAGATTTCAGTGCCCCATCACTGAACCTTGGCTCGGGGTATGTTAAGGGAAAATTCGGCCGAAATCTACTGCAAGCTATTCGGAACACGGGACTGACTGAGAACGTTGGAGACGACACTAGGTGGGGCCCTAGTGGAAAGTCATCAAAACCAGACTACATTCTAACTAGTGACCAACTACTCGTCGAAAAGGTTCAGGTCATGACTCCTCTAGGAAGTAGTGACCATGCAGTCATAGGTTTCGACCTCGTTCTCCGTGAGCACTTGCAGTGGGACGCTACGCAACCATGTCTGTGTTATAGCAAGGCTGACTATGCTGAAATGCGGAGGCTCTTGTCCGATACAGACTGGCCCTTAGCATGGGATGAGCTGTCTGTGGATGAACACTGGGAAGCGGTAAAAAAGATTATTCATACAGCGATCTCGGATACCGTCCCTTTAGTCACAGCACAGCCCAAAAGAAAATCATCATGGTTAACGAGAGGCACACAACATATTCTGCAAGCAAAGCGGAAGGCTTGGTTTACGTGGCGCGTATCTAAGAGTCAGATCGACCTCGACGCATACCTGGAACTTAGGAACCGGTACAACGCGAGAGTCAGGAGTGACAGGAGGTCATCCCAGGCTATCCTTGCCAAAAAACTCCTAGGAAACCCCAAAGACTTGTATCGATTCATGTCGGAAAGAAAACCAACCGACCAGGGGTCAAGCGCCTTAGAAGGCGCAAATGGTCAATATCTCACTAGTCTGGAGATGACTGAAACATTCAGTTTAGCCTTCGCCAAACAGCTAAACAGTAATGTGGGTATTACCATTACAGACCAAAATGGTGGCACTACTAATATATGTGTAAAACTTGGTAGTAAGTAATTCCATATTAGTTTGTTTATTTGATATATCACACAGTGAAACAATTGATATGATTATGAACAATAAATTTTGTTCGAAACGTCATCCAGTAAATAATACTGTTTCACTGTGTGATATATCAAATAAACAAACTAATATGGTGGCACTACTATTTCACAGGAGGAAGACCTAGTGGCTACTCCTCAAATAAACCCTGCAATAGTACTAGGGAAGCTACAGCGAATCACATCTGGGAAGTCCCCAGGCTGTGACGACATCACGCCACCTGTTCTGAAACAGTGCGCTGAAGCTCTCTGTAGGCCCTTATGCGACTTGTTCCAACACTCAGTGGTTTCGGGGAAACTGCCAAGGGAGTGGAGAAGAGCCATCTTTTCTACGATCTTCAAGGGCGAGGACAGTCAAAATGCTATCAGTTATAGACTAGTAGCAAGAATCTCAGTTGTCTAAGAAGTACTGAAAATATAAATGATGATCACATCAGGGATTACATCGCTAGGTGTAATATACCGTGAAGTCCAACACGGTTTCAGGAAAGGCAAATCTTGTGTAACCAACCTACTATCAGCTTGGGAAAATCGGACATCATGCTGGGATATGAATATTCCAGTCGATGTGGTCTTCCTAGACTTTGAGAAGGCATTTGAAACAGTTCACCATCTCCAAGACAAAATAAGTCAGGCAGGTATAGGTAAGCCACTTCTGTCATTATCAAAGGACTACCTAGCTGAAAGGCAATTTTGAACTAAGATCAATCGAATCCGATCATCCTGGCACACTTTGTCATCAAGAGTGTCGCAGGGCTCTATCCTAAGGTCACTGGTGCTTTGATTTTTATCAATGGTCTACCACTGACGACATAAAGATAAGGAGGGTAATAAAGTGTTCAGAAGACTCAGATAGGCTGCAGGCAGATCTAAACCCTCTGGAAGATTGAACGGTGGATAGCGGTATGACTTCCAACTTCAAAAAGTGCAAAGTAGTGATATTACGCAAGTTACACCCTGCGCAACGAAAGCTTGTCCTGCATAACGTCGGAAACGAATTAGGTCTAGTTCTAAAGGAGAAGATGGACACAAGTGTGAGTCACACGGGGGACATAGCGACGGCATATGCTGTCATACACTTTGTGCAGACAGTCAGGTGCATTCACCCCTGAGCTATTTTAAGGTTGCACAAAACATGTCAGATCAAACCTTGAAGTGCATAAGACCACTACACCCTTACAGCTTAGAAGAGACGCCAACCTCTTGGAAAGTGTCCAAAGACGGGCACAAAAGGAGTGGTTGGTCTCGAAAACAAACCATATAACGAAGGGCTGAAGAAATTAGGCCTATTCACACTTAGATACCGTCGGCCCAGGGGGGGTTAATTACTGCCTACAAAATAACATATGGCCAGAATCACCCAAAAAGGGTGTTCTGCCGTTGAGTAGGTATAGGCTTCCTCGTGGAAATCCCAGGAGGATAGCTCACCAGAGGGCAAGGACCCGGGTGCGCTCCCACTTCTTTTCACTACGGGTTTGTCGTCCCTGGAATTCCTTGCCGGCAGATGTAGCTATGGCACCGTCTGTGGACGCCTTTAAGCGGAGGCTTGACAACGATGTAGCGACACAAGGACTGCGTCCAAATGGCCTATCCCCTAAAAATCCCATACACCATCCAGGGGTAGGCAACTAAGTTCGTCGTTTTACTTCTTCACATTCTCTACCGTCTTACTCTCCTGAAAACTTTAACAACACTTATTATTACTATCATTATTACCGACATATATGTATTATTCATATTATTCTTCAAATTTAATTAGCTGACTGTTGTTGCGTTTACTTATTTCTTTTTCTGTTAGTCTGAATAACTTCACCAATTATATCTATTATTATGACCCCTTTTCCTTTGACAACGATACCAGGGGACTAACTGGTGAAAGGATCAACTCCCGTCACAGCAGCAGCATGCTCTTAACACACTGCACACTGCAAACAACATACAATTAATCCCAGTGCCACTCCTTTTGCAGTCAACCAAAGCTACGACAGTCGAGTGGCGGGAGATCCGGAACCTTTACCTCACAATCAAGAGGCGAGCACAAAGAAATCAAATTGGTTTATACAAGCTCGTAAAAACGATATTGGATATTGGTTGGCGGAAAATTGACTGTAACGTTACTATGTGTGAAATCGCTCAATTGAATGCGTTGCTTAAAATCACTGCGGCTAAAGTTGATATTGAGGATGAATTCCTCGGTCACTACATAAATAAAATCATAAAAATAATTACTTCATCAGATCTGAACAAACGTAAGTAGTTCTAAAGGCTAAATGGGCTGCAACCCATGACCAAACTTGCAGTATACTGCATTATAATGCTGAAGTTAAGCTCGCAAATTTTGAACTTACGCTTTTTGTACATAGTAATTAAACGTTGAAATGGCTTGATTTTCTTTATAAAACAGGGTTTGGTGATGCTTTTCAGCTTGATTGGCACTATTTTAGTACTCTGTGCTTTTTCAGTACCGTCAGTAGTTGAGCGTTTACTGGGTTTGTTTTAAAATAAACTCAGGAGCCCTTATTTCAGCTGTGTCATCACTGAATAGGTTTGTCTTAGTGTGGACTGCACTACTTAAGCCTCCAGCACTGTTTTTAAGCACTCCCAGCATTACTTCAGTAAATACTAGGTTCTTTTTAGGAATAAAAAATATTCATTTATCTTCGAACGGCACTATCAACGCGTTGTTCAGAATAAGTTAAGGATTACTGTAAGCTTGGGAATATGACAGTGATATTGGTTAAGTATGTATCGGTATTTAATAATATTTAGATTGCTTTCAGCCTGTTTATCCTGGTCTGTGACAGTTTGGAAACTTTGTGGGTGTATTTTAGGTTGAGTTACATCAACGTATTAGCAACTTAATAGACAGCTTTGAATAATGAAAGGTTTATGTTAGCCTTACTGACTTTTCGTCTCGGCATTCTCTTTCTGTAAACAGGGACCATTTCTGTTTGCCATAACAGTGTTATGCTGTGCAGAGAAGTTTTGTAGAATATTTCAGACAATACTAGTCAAAAGAAAATCTGTGTAAACTCTGTTCGCATTCGAATTCCAGGTACTGTCTGCCGGTGATCTGTAATTCTTTTCGTTCGCATCATTTCTGTCCTAATCATTCCGTTATATCCAACGCGACTGAGATGCGTACAGATATCTAACTGCTTGATACATAGTGGAAGATATTGTGGTGAATTGTAGTCAAGGTATTCCTCATTAAAGCTGTTTCATTTATTTGATAAGTCAAATGATAAGAAGTGTTTCTAAATTTCTGTTATTCATACTGTTATTGTGTGAGTGACTTGATGTGATTTTGAGCAATAGTTTGTGCTCGAAACGTCATCAATTAATATTACTGTACAACAGTGTGTGACTTATCAAAATAACATATTATCTATAATAGAGTTATACTCTACTACAGTACCCAAGTTTTATATCAATATTCATACTGTTCACAGAATTGTTAAAATATGTGTGATACTTTCCTGCAGGGAAGATATTTGACCTTCGAAAAACAAGACAAACTAAAAGAAAAGAATATATTTCTGTGGGCGATTACTCACCAGGTGACGTAATTACAGTGTGTTTTCTAGTTAGATATGTTTGTGAGCTCTTGATTTGGTACGATCAGACAGCAGATGGTTGTGTGTTTAATGTCTCTCGGTGTATCATACCACTAGGCAGCACCCGACATGTCACACAACTGTCTCGAATGTGGCTCCGTAAAGACGAAAAGAAAAGATGTAGTTCCCTTTCAACTGCTTCCGAAATTAATATTATATATATATATATATATATATATATATATATATATATATAACGTACTTGTAAAGTGAGCTTACCTGTTTCTTGTATGCCTACCGTCTCTGGGGGTCAAAACAATACCAATTGTGTGCTAATTACGTTCTTGAAGTGTTTGTACCGCCGTTTGTCTGATTTCTACTTTTCTCGATGCCTAAAGATATTCTTTATATAGCATCATAGGGCCTTACCTAATGTCAAAATATGCAGTAGATTTTGTTGTTTTTCTCGACCATCTCAGTCTTAACGTGCAGTTCCTCTGGAAAGTGGACACATTATTCTTGTTTTTTCCAATTACTGTCCAATATATTTCTGATATATGCTCTTATCTTTAGCTGTTACGGAGGAGTTGACACTATCCATCAAATGCTTAACCAACATATGCTCAACATCTCAAGGAATACGTCTTTTGACTGAAGTACTGTCCGATGAAAAAAGCCGTGAAGAGTTTACTAACGTTCTCTCACTCATTGCTTTGAACAGTTCCAGAAACGGTTCCGATTTAGGATCCTTGACTGTTAATTCGATTTCAAACATGACTCGGGATCCCTTGTTGCTAAATTATTTTAACAAACATTTTGATAAGCAGCATATTATTTCGATTATGGAGTCAGATTTTACCGTCCAGCAATTCCTTCCGGTGAGTACGTTTCGCTGCACCTAATTGTTGATTTCAGATCATTTTGAATTTAACTACCGAAGACTCATCACGTCATGTCATATCATCAACATTACTACCACGGCTTATTGATTTATTTCCTCAGTTAACGTCCGTTTCAGATAAAGTTCTTATATCTGGCATCATAAAAAACTGTTCATTCGAAGATGGTAATTTGTAATATTTTCACTGTCGCATTTTTACTCAGATCTCCACTGTAAACTGCTTGATAAAAGTGTGGCTTTTCTTGATAAATGGTTAATTCCCTTGTGTGGTCCAGAAGATTGTATTAACAAAGAAGATCTTGCTGTGTTGCCTAAATCTGTACAGACTGTTTCTGGCAACCCCAATATTCCCCGTTTATTTTCTGCTGACTTATGCCTCACTATTTGCCAAACGTTCTTACAGGTAAGTTCATTTCAACGTGCTACTAAATTTTCCTGTAGTTTTGTTCCACTAGTCATGGACGTACAATTCTCCGATCTAATGGTGTGTATTTTATTTTACGTGAGTTACACAAATATGTCTCAATGGTTGAAGGGCAGGTATCATCTTCTGAGAGTGGGGAGAAAAATTTAATTAAAGAATTGCTATTTTATATCGAACAGGTGGTAGACCAACTTATTTGTGAAGAAAATGAGCGTGATCAAAATTACACTGAATCCAGTCTCAGAGAAATACCTGTCGATACAATGACAAGCGAGAAGCTAGAACGAGCAAAACAAGACTATTTAGAATGTAAATAACACTGTATTTGTAGAGTAAAATTCATATTTTTATATCTGTTTGCTCAGTTTTTTTCTCTCTTTTTGTCTTTCAAGACTGTGGTTTCTAACTTGCAGTCACTAGAAATATATAACTGCTATATTCGTTTCTGATTATGATGGAACAAGTCTCGATTGCATTTACTTACCATGATTAAATTGAGAGGCTTCATAAAATTAACCTGCCTGTTTTTCTAAACATTTGTTTGATAGTGCCACACAGTGCTTAAAATGCAGGAGGTAGATACAAGATTTGATACAAAGATATGTAAGACTATATCGTTATACAATTATATAAGAGTTGCATAACGTTATACTAGCTCAAGAAGTTCTGTTAAAGAGAACGTGTTCTATTAGTTTAAGTAACCAGTTTCTAAAGCGAATTTGTAAACTTCAAAGTTATGGGTAGATAAAAAACGCAAACACGGCTCATTTCTATACTCAATCGGTCCATCTTCTTCTTGATTTTTCATTGAAGCTGTAATGCTCATAAATGAGACTTCATCTTGTTCACCAAAACTTTGGCTGCAAACATCTGGATATTGAGGTAAAAACTATTGTATCGTGAAATTCATCAAATTTTTTTAATTCAAGCCAAAGACACTAACGAATTATCTGTGTTGAACAGTAGTGGCTTTATCGTGTGAGCTCTATGGGTCGTCTTCATATTTCCACATACTTATTTAAAGTAAACCAGTATTCATAATACATGAGATATGATGGGTTTATAATTTACTACGTAGCCCTTCAATTATGACTTCTTTATAATCTCACGGACGATATAGATACTAATTTTCATGAATTACAAGTGACTGAAATCAAACGACAAACAGATTTCTCTACCTTTTTTTCCTTACGACAATGTTTAATTTTCAAAAGGACAGAATTATATTGTGTGCAAGAAAGCAGTTTGAAAAGATCAGATGAGCAACGATGAATGAAGTAGTGATGAAATAAGAGGATATATAGTAGACTTTAAACAGATTTATAGTCCGATAAGAATAAAATCCTATATATTAAAATAAACGTTTGATTCCCTGAACCTTTTTTATGGTAGAGTATTACCGGATTGAGGGTTTTTCTAACTTAACTAGAATGCGCCTCCACACACGACACTATAACTAACGGACCATTTGAAAATACCCCCTACACTAAGGTAGACGCGAAAGTCAGATTCGACCGCGACAGCGTTTATCAGACAAGATATATGTTACACCATATTTACAAAAACTCAGATGAGGTATCAGTGGTTTTATTGAGATGGCTTCAGCAAACTGAAGAAGACTTGGACTGTTTTATCTGTTAATTATTTTGAATGCTCCCAATGTGTCCACTTATTTAAAATAATTGGCAGACAAAACAGTTCAAGTCTTCTTCAGTTTGTTGGAGCCATCGCAAATAAACGACTGAAATCTGACCTATGTGTTCAAAAAGAATCTGTCTTAGGGTTTCACAATTACCTTGCTAACTTTTACCTTAGTAACTGTTCTTCTTCTGAGTTCATTTTTTCTAAAACCCTGCCCATTTTTCGCTTGACTTCCATATTAGACTTAATTTTAGGTCCTTTGAATTCTTCCCATCATCTTTTCATCTGGCTTCGTACGCAACAAATTTTGATTTTCCAATCTTATGACTTTTAATCACCATATTTTCTTATCTCTGATTAAGTAGTTATCACTGATTCATCATCACCCTAACGAGAAAACTGTTCACCTTTTTACGATAAATTTCGTTCTTATATTGTACATATTCTACTAACTTGAAATAACCTTATCACCCTTATGTTTTTGTTTTCAATATGACTATCTTACAACAAACCTTACTAGAGAACTGATTTGTGATGATAAACAAAGTGTAGGTTAAGATTGTATGATAACTGGTTTTATTAAATACCATAATTTGTACGCAGATGAAGAGGACCGACGAAATAACATGGATCCATATCATTCTGTACCAATATTTTTTCTACCTCTGTTCAAATCTATAAAGTTGAATTCGTGTATGAATTTTTAAGTTCTATGTTTTATTTATTGTAACAAACAATTAACCTCTCATCTAGGCACTTTACAGGGGTGTAAAGATTTTGTAAATGTACATCCACAACACTAGCTACTAAACTTTAAAGTCCTACGGATTAACTGTTGCTTGATTTCAATAAACTCCTTAGACATACGATTTTCAGAGCTATTGGCACTTTGACGTGAATCTTTTACTGAATGGATGGTACATCTATCTGATGAATAGAGTTCATATCAAGTGGATTTTAGTTGTATCGATATCACAGAAATTTACAGTTGAACATTATACTGGACTAATGTTATATAGTAGGATGTATATCAAATAACGAAAAATTTTTTATTAAGTCACTATCTTTCAAAACGTATCTATATAGCTGACATTTAAAAATACAATACAGTTTATAGAAAATCTTAAAACAGATTCTGGAAAGATTAATTATTGGTCAGAAGTAAAAATTAGTAAACTGTGGAAGAATTGAGATCGATAACTGAAGTGAAATTAGAACTTTGTTACTGATATTTATTATTTCAGAAATGTGGATATATATATATATGGTTTGCAGAAATAAGTCAAGCACATGCACATTCCCTGTCCATAATCTCGAATCATTGTACACCTGTATGGATATATCGATATTTCGGGAGATACAACAAACGTGACAGATAATTCTATACACAATGACATCTGTAAGAATTATCATATTGTGAAATAAGATTTCTTTCTTTCCAGTTTAAAATTCGTACCCATCATTCCTATGTAAATAGCTATCACTGTTACTTACATAGAAAACTATGTTGCAGGAACTTATTCTCTATTAACTTGATATTACTGGTGGTCTATGGTTGGTCACTACGCATCGATCGTCTTGATCTATCAAACGATCGGTCGAAAGTGTATTTCAATCAAGCACCTATTGAATGATGTCGTTTCTAAACTTATCCTATCGTTAGCTCACATACAAACAACCATAATCATGTTACGCTGCATAAATTACCGATACTATAACGTTTAAGACGACTAATCAATAATCATAGAAACGTATTTAAGAACAGAAATTTTCGTAATACATACATTTGCCAACGTCATCATATAAGATGCTTAAACAGACCGGCTAGCTTTCTTACCTTGTCCTATAATTTGCACTGATAACATATGCTATCACAAGTGTTAATGAATTCACACATTTATCTTCAAAAAGTGTTCTTAGTTGAAGATAGACATTCATTATAATAAGACAGAATTTATTCTGCAAATGTACAATATACTTTCAAAATTATGAACAAATTTGCGTATCAAATAATAAACAAAAAAAAAAGAATGAAATGCAAGCAACAAACAAAACTGTTGTCAAGACATACTTTACTTTCGCGTTAAAACAACTAAATTATCAATAAAGTAAGTTGAACGGAGTGTATCACACAGTGCTAGTATTATATGCTAATTAAGTTTACCGTAGTAATTCATATATATATAAACCTTGAAGGGGGAAAAATGCAATACATGTGTAAAACGGGAAATCAATATCATTTTATAATTAATGCCTGACTCCATTTTGACTGCCTGGTAGTTTAATTTTATACTGACATAAAATTTGCTCCAATTGTTGATTATTTCCCGAGAAAAATGCAGATGTTGCATTATGCAACAACACTAACTGATGCTGCATGACACGTAACTGGAGACAAAAAACATATGTATATAAAGTTATTATTATTATTACTGATAATAGAAGTAATATCAGCTCAATAGGCACTTAAATTCAAATTTGCCACGCAAAAAAATAATTTGCTATACGTCATACTTTCGGAAAATACATTTCAATCGTAAAAATAGTTTATACGTTCATTTCTATGTAGCAGGTTTATCGTTATTTCAGAAAGACAACAACATAAGCTACTTTTATGTAAAAACTTACCTAATTGTGAGGCACATTATGTCCTCAATCATTCACAAAAGAAACAGTTCCTCAATATGTATCTTTTTCGTCACAAAATTTTGTGCGACATGCTTTAACCCAACTAAAGTAGCATTCAGTCATTGTTTGTCTTCACGACTGTTTATTACTAATGCAACAGTATCACTCGTTTTTATTGATAATAATAAGAACGCATTTGAAGTAAATGTCAGTAAACGTGAATTAACATGAAAAATCAATAAAAGAAAACTGCAGATAGAAGTAACACACACATAAACGTATGCTCTATATACTCTGGTGACTTTTGAGTGGCTAGTTTTTGTTTTTTTCTTCTTTCCAAATGTATGTATACCCATTATTCTCGATGAGACCAGTAAAACTGAATGTATGTTCAACCTGTTTTACGCATCTTATGATTTCATAAATTTTAGAAAACCAAATAAGAAAACGTTTAAAAATTGACTTGAACATAAGAAATTTACAAAAGCCAACTAACTAACTACACAGTAAGATTATTGACACGCCCTTTAAGTTTATCAATTCAATAATAGAAGTGATGTAACAGTGTTATTAGTGTATTAGTGGAAGAATCCTTCTCCATAATCTACCGGGTGCCTAATAAATTGCCAAAATCATCGAAGCACCGCATGCTCCAAACAGCAGAAGCTATTGCAATTCGCCTCAAACAACCAGTGCTCTGTGTTCAAAAGAAGCAAGTCCAGTCCCTACTACAGCCCTGGCCTTCAGTAGAGACTATAAATTCATGAATTTGCAACATAATCCTTCCTAATTTTTCTGACATTCAGCTTACTTTATGTTGATGCTATTGAGCTGCAATCTATCAATATTATTGAAACATTAATGTTGTTCATAGCACTAATTCATTCATTCACTATAATGTACATATAACTGTAGAGCCTGATGATGAAGTTATCGGAAAGAGTACTCTTTTTTCAGTATCCGTTCTTTTGAAAAATTTTAATGGGCATTTCTAATCAATTTATTGAGTGTTATTTAGCGTGTTCTATTGTCTTAGTAACCGAAAGAGGATGAAAACCAACTTTACTTTCTTTGTTTATTCTGTTAATCTATGAATTCTATATATAGAAATGTCAATTTTTGCAACTCAAAGGCGTTACTGATCTGTACATTTTTATATTTTTCATTTATATACTAGATAAACTAGAAATAAATATAAAGTACAATATCAGCCAAAGAAATTCATACTAGTACCTCTATTGTTGATTGCTTAGAATTCTATTGTGTTATCTCCTGTAAGTTTACGGGTCATAAAAATAATGTTTGCTCGCCTAGAGGCGAATTTTTTAAAATTCACATTGTTTTCCGTCAGTGAAAGGTTAGAATTATCAATGAAAGCTACCACAAATTGTTCCAGCAGGTGGTCACTTAAAGTGTTATTTATCAAGGTCACCTAAACTTTTCAGTAAAATGAATGGCTTTTATCATCAGACAAAGGCTAGTTTATTGTTCGTTTTACAATAGTCTCCAATAAACCAACAGTCTTCCCACTTCCCAAAAGTCGAAATTTAATTGACCTCTCCGTGATAAAGGTTTGAGAAAGGTTCTAAAAGTATGTACTACTACAGAATAGTTTTAGGCTTACGACGTTAAAAAAAACGGATACTGTTGTAACTTATTTTGAAGGGTCATACAAGGTTTCTGATCAATTGCCTTTGAAATCACAAATATGAAGCCTACATTTCCTCATATAAATAAAATTCGCAATCAATAGACTCATACTTTACTTAAAAAGATACAGTGACAACTTAAATCAACAATGAATATATTACTTCTCAGACATTTCTTATTCAAAGCTGTACGCAATTTCCTTGAGTTTAAAAAAAGATAGCTAAATAATTTAACATTAGTCGTTTGATATTCTAAAGATTGAGGAGTTGTACGCTTCAAGGCTTAATGAATTGAAGTAAGAATCCAATAGAAATGCAAGTTCTTATTGTCTTTTCTCATTCAGCTATGATATGAAAGGCTATTAAAAGAAGTGAACTAGAATATATTGGGTGTCAAATTACGCGCTAGGGTTAAACTTGAGAAGTGCAAAGGATATGAATCATGGTATTTTTCCAAATACTAAAACAAATGCAAGTGGATTGATTCACACTAATGAAACATTTTCACACATATTTATTCATACAAAACACCAACTTGAAACAAACAAGATGAATACAATACGAAAATAAGTGTAAAAGAAATAAATATATGGTTCAAAAGCACAAATTCCGAATAAAGAAACCAATCATATGAAAGTAAATTCCCAGAAAAATAGATCTACTTCTTAATTTACATTAGTGATTGTTTTTAGATGTTAAAGTAATCCATAAAATTATTCCAGAGATCGTAATATTTTATATTTAAAGGTGTTTCCTTATGAACTACTAATGACTTACAGAGGTATTTCGGTAATTAAAGTTTGAACCATCTGAAAATATTTCTAGTCTTCCTTTGCATAAGAACGGTTCAATATCAAGAGTCTGATTACTGAGTTGCATTACGCGTTTAACGATAGTTTTAATTAGTGTGTGCACTAATTATTTTTTACGATTATTCAGCGGAAGTTCTATGTTATGCTTCTACTATTCTTGAATTTGGAAATAATTTCAAATGAAACTGGTTTACTGTCTCTACAGTACCTAATCTACCATTTGAGAGGATATGTTAGTCACAATGAATTTCACAGTTGACATTTACACATTATCTACTAAGTGTTTTATAACGTCTAACTGGTTATCTTCTAGAAGTAATTAATTATACTTTGGTTTAGGCATCAGGCTATGTACTTATAAGTGAAAACTAGTCGTAAAACCCATGATAGGTAGTGTTAGATGGTTTGATTCTTACTGTTACCCGAATTTCCACTGAAATGAATTGCGAAAGACTACCTTTCTTCAAGTTAATCAACAGCTGATGGTGAGCGTGCTACTGATGAAGTGCCTCAAGAAGTAAAAACAAACCCTAGACTAAAAGGACCCAGTCTCATAGAAATCAATAGTTAATAAAAATTTGAGCAAAGGATTTTACAAATGAAACTTGGTTAGTCAAATTGACAAACACACACAAACTTACTCTATTATCTTGTAGGAATTCCAGTTTACAACAAACAACCTTCTTCAGTTCAGTGTACCGTTCATAGGCTGCTTCTAATCCTGACTGGATACGACCATCATCGTGTACCTGATTATTTACAATTTCATTTCTTGGCATAAAAATACCAGTCGTTGTAGGATTATCACAGGTATTGTTACCGTTAACAGGTTTTTTATTCTTCAGCTGCTGAGCTTCATTGCGATAAGCATCGTATTCTACACGAGCTGAATGCATATTGGCAACAGTATTCCATGTATCCGTAAATGCATGACCGATGAGTGTACCCAGAGAATTCACAAAATGATCTAATGACGCTAAATAAATAAAAAAAATCGGGCAGCACACAAAATTACAACTCTTATTAAAGTTAGGAATTTTTCATGACAATACACTGACGAAAATTCCACTTCTGAATAAAAGAAACATTCATATTACATAGCTTATTCTAAAACAAGTATCCTGAATATAGACTCTACAATCAAATTTAAATCCCACCACACTGGAATTTCGAACTCCTTGAGACTACACACTTACTTTCACTTTACTTCGGCTATCTCCTAAGGAAGGATGAGCCGGCTTCATGAACATCTCGAATCATCGCTGCCCAGGCGCAGCGATCTGATGAAGAGAGTTCATGAAGTTTCATGGGAATTTGGTACGAGTGATGTCCCCAGAATCGCTCGGCCTTTTGTTTGAGAGTGCAGCTCTAGCCTTTACACAACCAAGTGTGACCTACAAGGCAGTAGGAGTGGAGTAGGGAGTTCACTATCCATTGGCCGCCGGTGACCGGAGTTCGGTTCATACGCCTTTTTGAATGGGGCCAGACATCCAGGACATCCAACAAACCCTTTGTCCATACGTCTGCCGGTGAGCTCCAGTGAGCTTCATACGCCAGTCGTTGGAGGCTTGGAATCAGGGTTTAGCCATCTCCCCTAGACTGTCATCCAATGGACAGTCAACCCGGTGAAGAGCGCCGGGCATCCGCTTTCGCCCTCTCACTTTGGTGAAAAACACCTCCACCACGTGAAGGCAGTGAGTAGGACTTCCTCAGGAGAGGCTATGTAAGACACCCGGTCATATGGGAGCATTTCAAGAGGTGTGCGGAGGGGTGGCCAACCCGCAGCGCAAGGCACCCACCCCCAACCATCTTGAGGCTTTGGAGGCTACATACTTATCACCAATCATCATTAGATTTCCAAGCGTTGGTTTGCAGGGATATGACTGGCTAAAGGTTTGATCACAAGGTGACATCAATTAGAGAATTACTGGGAAACCAAGGCTTGGCTGTATGGTCTACAAGCTTCCCTTGTAAGCAGAAGGCCCTGTGTTCCAGCTCGGTTGGTGTGTACTGAGGAAGAGTCCTAAACCAGGACAAAACAACCGTCCAGTACTCTCTAGTTTTCTAATGGTTCTCTAACTGATATCAGCTCGTAATCAAAACTGTAATCCTCATCATAGTATATCGTTAAAAGATTACAGCGTGTTTACATGAGGAGCGTACTGCATTCTGATGGAGAAAACAATTTTCATAAACAAGCTAAAATGCACGTTTTCTACGCAACAAAGCTTTCTTTCTAGATAAAAGGCAGTCTAATCTGCTCTTCAAATACTGATTCTTCTGTCAAAAAAGTGCGAAATAATGGATATCACTGTTAGAAAGAATAGATATGTGGTATAAGAACATTTAAAAGACATCTATACCACTCATACCTAGTAATTTTTCGCCATTCGATATCACAATACGTTGTGTTTCTGTATTGTATGTAAATTCATTGCTTAATTCAGGTTGTTGCACTATTAAAGTAGCCATATGATTTGAGAAGGCACGTTGATGGTTAAGGGTTTCACGAAAACTATTTGTTAACTTTTGGGCAAGATTGTGGAGTATTTTATATTGCTGATGCATATTCCTAGTTTAAAGAAGACAGAAATCAGACTAGTAAAAAAAACACACTAGAGAAGGTGAGAAATTTTAAATTAGGAAAATCATTTTAAAATATACAATAACAGTACAAACCAGGAACCAAAACTCCATCTAGCCCTCAAACACGATTGTATGTGGCATGGGTACATGGGTACACCTGACAGTACATTTCCATTATTAGTATTATTGTGACAGAAAGAAGATGGAAGAATAACTAACTAATGCTGCATCAAAAAATAACTCTGACAACAACAAAATTATGGCGCTACGTAATTCTAAGCAATCGAAAGCCTACAGCTTCATGGTTGTTCAGTAGTGAGTGAGAGTAGATTTTTGCACAAAAAAGGAGCAGTTCAAGTTGTGACTTTTTAAAAGTCAACTTAAGGGTACAAGAAAAATACAAAAAATTATAATAAAGAGAAATTTACGGGTGTAAAATCAGAAATTAATGCATCTAGAAGGTCCCAAGTAGTGAGTGCATCTGAGCTACTGACAACGATATTGAGCCATGTCAGTGATAATCTCTACCATTGATTCCTAGCGTCTGAAGCAACCTAGTTAGGTACTATTTATTTCCCTACGTGAATGGCTCAAACCAACAGTCAGAGACTCCACAGACTGATACCATATTTTAGTTTGACTCTTCTCCAACCTAATATTATGTCGGTCAACACTTATCAAAGTGGAAATTGAGAGTTTGGGATACGTAACCATCTCAATCGATGCAGCCTCACAACTCCATCGATTAATTATCCTCTCCAAACTAATACTCTGCTCCTAATCTCAATGCTACTCACCTTATTATGTTAATAATAGGAAAGATAGGAGGCGAAGCATTATGGTTAAATCCGATTAACATCCCTACTTTCATCGGTCATACCTCACATCCGAGAAAGACGGAGCGAGTCCCTGTGCAATACACACGTTTCATGAATGGTTGAATATCACGTCTACGTCAGGAATGAATTAATTTGGCGAATGCTAGATGAGCTGAGATTTCGTCGTCAATTAGTATAACCATGGCCCAACCGTTCCACTCCTTATATCTAAACTACGAGTCAGTGCAAATCGGTTGTGTAGTACCATCTTACATCTGACTGGGGCAAATAGCATGCGAAATATACCAAAATGATTTGCCCAGTGTGTACAAAAGACTATATTGGGCCAGCGTTTTCAACTAGAAGGACTCTATCATCTTACTATAAGTCGACGAGAATTATTAAGTCTCTGCAGTCGGTCAGAGTTCTACTCATTAGTACATCTATGATTAAATTAAAATAGGTACAAGGTATCCCTCATGGACACCACCGGTTGTCTTTAATTCAGACGACAACTCGTCATAAACCTAATCGACTGCGTAAGTTTAAGTAGAGTGACTTGATGTGTGTGATACACTTTCTCAACTGTCTCTTCACGACCAGACATTGTCACAACACTTGCTGGTCGATGGAATCAAATGGTGCCTTCAGATCAAGAAATATGGCAAGTGTTGGACACCTACAAGTATGTCTATGACATGATCACCGTCTTCCTAACCTAAAGCCGAACTAGTTTACACGGGTTTGCTTCTACCAAGCACCACTCAGTCAACGGATAATTATGGAACCTGGCATTTTACGCAATACATTAGTCAATCTGACTTTCCCATTGATTACATCTTCTTTCCGATAAAGTGCGACAACCAATTATTTCCACTAGTTTAGCAATACGACCTCAGATTCACGAAACAACCAAATACTTCAGATGAATTAGTCAATGGTTAATCCCCACAGTTCTTAAACACCTGTGGAGTCATACTATCAGGTTCCAGTGCTTCACCTCTTTTTAGATTAGAGATGGATTTCGCAACCTCGGTTACAGTTGGAGGTCAATGTCTACATACCACACAAGTAGACATAAAATGCTAAATAACCCTAGGGTGACTTAAGTTCTTCAGAATTACCCCTCAGAGTGTTCCATCCAAAGTTCCAGGCTTTCTTCCATGTGTTCCGAGTACTCATAATCTTTAGATAAAGATCAAATGTTAATGTTATGAGTAACTGAATAAGCAGGAGAAAAAGTCGTATCATTATTCATTAGTCGACTTAATTTGAAGTACGGGAATCCCACCAATTTATTTATACACATAGTTTGCAATTACAGGAATATTGAGAAAGTTTAATCAGTAAAGATGGACTTCTTTGTTTACCAAAAGACTGGTCAGTATAGTTCACGTAAAGATATACGTTAATTTTCTTCAAGTGAAATTACTGGTGGAAGTGGTAAAACATTTTTTTCTATTAACTTTCAGCTGGATGTGTGCGGTCATAAATCACATCAATCGACTTGTTATTATGTTTGGAAGAAATTCAGTTTTATTTCTTACAAATTCCAAAATTCATTCATTATGAGAAGCTATTAAGTCAATCAAACAATAATTTATCTCAGTACGTTGTTAGCCGAAATATGATCAGGTTGGAAAAGAGCCGGTGGTGGTCAAACCAAAACATGGCTTCATCAGTCAGTGAAATCCACAACAGTCAGATTAAGCTAGCCACGTAGGGAGGTGTAGAATGCCAGATTAGTTGGGGTCCTCGGAATGGCAAAAACCAATGAAGGCTGGAGACAATTGGTGATACGGCCTCAAGATCGTTGTCAATGGTGCAGATGCATTCACTCCTTGTGATTTATAATAGCCAATAAAACTACATTGTTCTTCCATATAAGTATTCTTTTTGCCTCACATTTCTGTTTATTACCTCTCTTTTGAATCTCTCTCTACTCTTGTCTTGCTTTGTGTGCTAAATGAAGTGTGGCAACTTGAACTGCTAGATGTCTGTGCAAAGCTCTGAATTGAAACCAGTCAATTAGTACGTTGCCTTACGTTTTAATAAAGAAATATTAATATAATCTCAATATGAAACATTACCTGAATGATGAGATGCGATCTTCAAGTTCTTGATCGAATGTCACGCTTGCTGTGCCAAGTTTTTCTTCTATCATTTGCTTTGTGCACTTTAATGTATTTACACTCCAATGTTTTAAATGTTCCAGACGATTTTGTAAGTTAACATTGTTACAAGAATCAATTGGTCCTACTTGAAAACTTGAGATACCTGGATTATAAACCAAAATGAAATAATACAACTAACCATCATTCCGTGACAATGATGACACAGAACTATTGGTATTGCTGTTGGTACCATGATCCAAAGCACTTTTGGAAGCACCGGTGTCTTGTTCGTAATGGAGAGATGGCGGGTTAGACGGCGCTGTCGTGTAAGGACTGATGCTATCTGCTTTCATCTAGTCGCATAAACTACAATGAACAAAATCGGTAAAATAATACGCGTAAAACAAAAAGGCCACTGAAGCTGACAGGACTTTAGCCGTAAGCATGTACCAATACAGTAAAAAAATAGACAATTTCAATCTCAAGTTTAACAATACATAATTACGAACGCTAAAATTTGCCTCACAGAAATAGGAAAACTAGAACCGTAGTAATCAGGGTGTGTACCCATCGTTTATATCACAACATAAAATCTACTTTACCACGATTGTTTCTTGAGCTCTGCCTTATTAACTTCACATGGTATCGATGTGACGTCTATACAGCTTCACCGCCTATTTATTTGCAACTCGATTCGTTTTCGCGAAACCCCTGATATTTCGAAACTAAGTTGGAAAACCAACGGCAATAATTCCAAATCGAGTGCACCTTGTAAAACCGAATTTCGAAGAGTCAGACAGCGTAGTTACCTCAACCATACGTGACGCATGTATAGGCTTCGAATGTGACATCTTTTAAGGCCTTATCACAGCTTTACCTTAATGTGAAAGGGTGCCTGCACAATAACTGTAGTTGCGACAGGTTTATCATATAAACTGAATGGTTGAGGTTAAACAAAATTTATTTGCAAGAGGTATATAGAAGTAAGAAATACCGATGAATTCGTCAATGAATGATAAATGTTAGGAATAAAAGTTTATTACTTTGAACTTCACTTTATTACAATAAATACTTACACGCTACTACAACAGTTTATAAGCACTTTTCAGATCATAAAAGATTTTCAGTAATGTGGAAACAACAACTCCGCTAGCAGACATTTCGGAACAAGAAATTATGGTACATTGCAGAAAGCGGGATAACTGTCTCAACTCTGCTCCACAATTCTGCAGTCCGCACGAGGACCGTCCCAAAATCTCTGCAATGCTAGATGGGAATTCTTAAGGTTTGAAATGCCAGCAGAATGTGAGGGTAGTCACTCAAACAGATGTCCTGCTGCAGAATTAAATCCAAATTGTATATTGAGAAAAAATATGATAAAAGTTAGTTGAAATGTTCTAGCTAGAGCAGGATCCAATAAGTTAATTGTGCGGACAAAACAGCGACATTTCTTGGAAAATGTGGACAAAAAGTTGGAAATTTTTTTCAAAGGAAGAAATAAACCGAGTATACGCGACAAAAATAGGATGATATTTTTAGATTTGAAAATAAAGCGAAGAAGGAGGTGATTATCAGACAATAAGGGCGAAATGAAGAGATAAAAGGTGAGATAATTGCGACAAGCGTACCAATAATAGGAGAGAAAGGGGCATAATACGTCATCAGGGAAGAGTGGGGAATTAACGCCTAAATGTCCTTCAATTCCCATTTATTGTACATAAAGCATTCCCTTTTTAACGCTCTGCTCCCCATTTTTGTTTGATTGAGGAGTTACCTTACCCACTTCTGCGAAGGGTTTGTTCGACAAAAAGACGGATAAAAGTATGCTTAACGGTAATATCAATTCTTCGGGTATAACGTGGATATCTTAAGCGAACAATGAAAAATAACAACACTAAACAAACAACTTAGAAACCGAATGTAACGTACATATCAAATATGCGCTGAAGTGTGCAGAAGTAACTTTCAGTGTCCAACGGAATATAGAAATAAGACACCATAGTTTCATCCCATTCTATCCGTAGTACACAGAAAAACTGTCTAAACGAAGGCACCTCCGATGCTTTCATACATTTCGCGGCATATATATAGTGGATACTGGCAACTTTACATCTGGTGAATCCATATTCGAAATGTCATTTTATTTCTACTTCGGAAGTCCCTTCTGCCTCATTGTTTTGGCCGTGAGCAATGGGCTTATTTGTTAACGCATAAGGATTCCGAACATTCGAATTATTGATTCCTGTAAGCTACTGGCTGCTGGAAATATTAAGCGCCTTCTACACACAAGGAGATGTATAGCAAAGTGTTATCGTCTATATTTCTGAGTCGGGAGCAGAAGTAGGTAACAAGCGTTATCAGAAGTAAGACACCATGTTAAAGGCAGCTAAATAAACACATGAACGGATTGCCGGGGGGAGAAAATTAGAACCTTAACTTTGATAAATAGTAAGAAGTATGCTTCTAAGCTGTCATTAGATTTGCTGATAACCAAGTATACTCCTGGCATATAGAAAACACCATATGTACAACAGAGGTTTCCGTAAGTTGATTACAGGCCAAAAATATAAGCCTTTTTATGTGGTCTTCAGCATCACCTTGCTGTTTGATATACTCCACCGTAAAATGACAATTTTCAATAGTCAACCATCATTTTACTTGATGACATCACAGAAAACACATAAAAATATGGAATTCACCTGATGAAAGATCTCTCCTTTATCTTATCACTCACCAACTGCTAAGTAAAGGATATTTACAGGCTATAGTAGACTTGGTGTGCAACACTACCCACCTAATCAGTGGTTTATCTGACCTGCAATTTTTAAAGACTAAGCAGGAAAGCTTGGAAAAGCATTATAACTAAACGAGCTGGTTGTGGATAAATGTCGATGAATAACTCCTTAAAAATTATTAGCCTGAAGACTTCATCAGTCGATACTGAGTACTGAATTCCGCTGTTTATGTCGACCGGCTAATCTAGTTAATACCCACGTAATCACCAAAATCACCTTAAAGCAATACCGAGTTTTGTCTAGTTAATTTAGTCTAAGCTGTTTATTTTAAATTCAGTTGTATCTCGGTGTCAGGAAGGTGCAGTGCAGATATATTTTAGACATAGCCTCTGAGACTAACTGAGTCCTCAATATAAATCACCACATTCCATATAGCTCACTCAAGTAGTATGAAAGCAATTCACAGATGACCTTTTTGTAACAGAAAGGTACGGGAGGAATAACAAGTACATGAAAAAATTAGGAATAAATGAACCTGAGGTTAAATAAGAAGTGAATTCATCTGCAATACTGAGAACGGTATTGATTCAAGCTAAACACCAAGAGAAGCTGAATGCAGTTTACTATACAAAAACTTTTCAGGAGCCTCCTGGTAAGCAAAATGATTGTAGGAACTTACTGTATGTTTGCATATAGTTAAGTGCTGAAAATTTCGTGAATTCTAAGAAATTCGTTCAACATTACTGAGACATAAACTCAAATTCTTACTAAACTTCGATGTAATTCAATAACTTCGGGTATTTAATTTGCCGTGGTGCGGACGTAGGTTGAATATCTTACTCAACTGCTAACCTTTGGACACATTCAGGCAAGTTTTTTAGTAAACCACACTGGGAATATCAAATAATCGTTATGTGTATATATCTGCACGACCTGTGGCCGCTAGAATCAGAGAGTGGTCATCTAAGCAATGTGACTCTTCCTAAAGTATAAATTCGTAATTTAAAGATAAATATATCCAAAACTACAGAATAGGTGGATACCTGCAGAAATGAGAATGTTTAGAGTATCAGTATCGGATGTGAAGTCAGGTGTATGGAAGCTGCTACAACCAGATTTGATATTTTAAGCTGTTGGTTACTTAGGCAAGCGATCTAACTCTTCGAAATAATTAGGTGACGTTAAACTAAAGACACGCAGCAGGCGTGAACCCACCGATGACTTTCGAGAACTTAGTCAGCAAAGTAGTGAAACCTGGTAAAAAAAGAGCAATCACTCTATGAAAAAATTGTTGCATGCAGAGTTATCAAAAAATATCTATTTCATGTCATTTAATGTAAGCCAGAATCACACGCTCAATAAATGGTTAGAGAACACAAAACTGAATATATATAAATAGCGGTTCGATCACTTGAAAATATACCTTGGCTACCGTGTCTTGCTTTCTGTTGTTATAATCTTACCTGATTGAGAGATGAAGAGATGTCTAGCGGCAGATTAGGCGCAAATCAGGATAAGGGTCGGTAAGGCTAAGGAGAGATTAGGGACGATTCAGAGAACCAAATTTGCCTCCCAGTGATAAGGCTCTTCACAGGACTATTGGTGCATTCGTGTCTAAATTTTAACACTTCCCAGCCTGACGAGGTACTTTATTTAACGATTGACTGGTCATTCAGTCTAATAGCCTACTGAAATTCAGTGATTTTGCAACCAATCAGACTCAACAAGCACATTGAATGGTGTAATTTGTACCATAATGGATAGTAATTTAACCTTAACAATGCATTGAAGGACATCCACTCTCAGAAAGTTCGATATGCGTATCCAATTTTGAGTGGACCACTAAATAAATACGCACTCGTTGACTGTCGGACTAACTCAGTCCATTTTTGTGAACCAGATGAACATCCAATGATCCCATCTGATTGTAATGGATCAATAACACTCGTACTATTATTTCTGAATGTACATTATCTCACATTGATTTTTAATCCAATATCTAATCGATTCCACACATGTATATAAATCCAACATCCTATATCCAATATCCTGATTACGAGCTAGTATAAACCAGTGATTTCTTTGAGCTCGCTTCTTGATTGTAAGGTAGAGGCTCCAGATCTTCGGTGAACTTATGCGTAGTAAATCCCGCCACTCGACTGCTTTAGCTCTGGTAGACTCCAAGAGGAGTGGTGCGAGGATTGGTCAAGATTGTGGTTTGTAGTGTGCAGTATGTTAGGACTCAGCTGCTGCCGTGAATGGAGTTTGACCTAACACCCATTGGTCATTCGGTATAGTCATAAAAGTAGAATAGTAATAGTAATAATAGGTTGTAGTGTAGCTAATATAGGTTGAGATAAGTGAAATAATAACGGTGAAATTATAAAGAAAGAAAGAAAAGATAGAGTAGTCGGTACAGTGGGAGAATACAGGACGGGTCGTGGGGATTTAGCTTGTATGCTTATCCATTGACAATGTGGTTTCAAATTTTAAGAGGGTAAGCCATTGAGACACAAACCATGCATTTCTGCATGATTGTCCAGCTTCCGCTTAAAAGTCTCCACAGATGGCGCTGTAGTTACGGCCGCCGGTAAAGCGTTCCAGAGACGGCAAACTCG